CAATCATTGTAAACCTGTCTAAACCGAACATTGTAAACCTGTCTAAACCGAACAGTGTAAACCTGCCTTAACCGAACAGTGTAAACCTGCCTTAACCAAACTTTGTAAACCTGTCTAAACCAAACATTGTAAACCTGCCTAAACCAAACTTTGTAAACCTGCCTAAACCAATCATTGTAAACCTGTCTAAACCGAACATTGTAAACCTGTCTAAACCGAACATTGTAAACCTGTCTAAACCGAACATTGTAAACCTGCCTAAACCAATCATTGTAAACCTGTCTAAACCAATCACTGTAAACCTGTCTAAACCGAACATTGTAAACCTGTCTAAACCGAACATTGTAAACCTGTTTAAACCGAACATTGTAAACCTGTTTAAACCGAACATTGTAAACCTGTCTAAACCAAACTTTGTAAACCTGCCTACACCAAACTTTGTAAACCTGCCTACACCAAACTTTGTAAACCTGTCTAAACCAAACTTTGTAAACCTGCTTAAACCAAACTTTGTAAACCTGTCTAAACCATAGCCCTAGAGGTTGCAAATGTATGTCAAAATCAAACACTAACTGTACATATAAACTAAATACTTGTCTTAACTATGTTTGTGTGTGTGTGTGTGTGTGTGTGTGTGTATGTGTGTCCGTCTGTTCCACTGATATCTCAAGAACCATACATCAGTTTTTGATGAAACTTGGTGCATAGATACTCAATGACTATGCAGAGATTCATTTTTTTTGGATAAATATTTGTGCATATTAATCACCTAATTTGCATAATTAGTTAATTTTCAGCTTTTCCACAGATATCTCAAGTACTAATCATCACATTTCAATGAAACTTTGTACATGAATGCTGTAGGACAATAGACAGACCTAGATAATTGTTGGTTAAAATCTGTACATATTAATTACTAATTTGCATAATTAACCACTTTTAAGCAATCACACTGATATCTAAAGTACTAATTATTCCATTTCAATGAAACTTGGTACAAAGATGCTCTAGGACAATGTACAAACCTGATTAGTTTAGGGTTAAAATCTGTTTATATTAATTCCCTAATTTGGTTCCAATCACATTTCAATAAAACTTGGTACATGGATGGTCTGTTACATTGCGCAGACCTCATTAGTTTTACACTCAAATCTGTTCATATTAATTTTCTGATTTGCATTATTAGTTTTCAGCTTTTCCATCACTATCTCAATCAAGTACAAGTAATTTTGAATGTGTCTCCAATACTCTCAGCACATGGGAGTTCTTTCTAAGCTTTCTTTGATTTATTTTTTGAAGAACTAAGTGCAGATTATGACAATGCTTCATATGATGAAGGGGAGTACGATGATCAAGAGTATGATTTACCGGAGGTGATTGAAGACGATGCGGATGAACCAGGTCCACCATTTTGGCTGAAACCTAACAAGATGTCAAAATTTCGTGCAGCCCCAATGTTTACTTCTGTCCGATTTCATTGTATTGCTGGAGGTAATCCAACTCCTAATGTCAGTTGGTATTTCAATGGTGAAGATATTGATTCAATAGAACGATACCGTGAGGTAGGTATATATTCATAATTCATGTTGAGTTGCAGTATTCAAGAAGTTATAGTTTGATTGAAAATTTAATTAATTTGTATGTGACCAGTGTATTTATTCACTGAGAGCAATTTGGATAATTTGGATGTCTCATTATGATGGCTACAGATGGCCTGTATCCTCAAACTTATAAATATGGTATATATAAGTTTGATATATATAGTTCGGTAGTATAGTTTTTATGAAAAGGCAAAGCCAACTGAAAACACTGCTGAAGTTGTAGTTACTCCTGGCTGTACCGTTTTTTTTGGTGCTACTTGCAATAACAAATTCAGAGTAGACATTGTGTCTGACGTGAAGAAAGAAACAAAAAAATCATTTTTGATCCAACTGCGTTCATCGCAGGTCAGATTTTTGGATTAATTTGTTTGATAATAATGGTATGGTTTGATCCTTCACAAAATATCTTTGACTTTCTGTTTGATTCCATTGACATAAAATTCAATTCTTGATTGGAAAATCTAACCTATTGGGGAAAATTTCATATACTTGTACCGTTGGCTAAGACTATTTTCGAAACCAAATTATTGTAACTATATATATTGTATTTAAGAGTTGTATCTATTTTTTCTCCAGTAAGTTGAAATTAGATTTATTTGACAGTTCTTAGTTTTAACTTGTAATTTCATTCAGAATTGTGTATGTGATATATGCATCTAACAATCCTCAGCAAACTGAGAAGGTTTCTCGATTGTTTTCTCTTTAATATGCTGTGATGCACAGAGATAATTAATTGTAGAAAACCACACAGGAGGCAACAAATCCCTGTGGTTGAGACCTGAGACGTTCTCCCTTCAGCAGTCATACACATGATAAGATATGACAATTGACGTACATAATGTCGTTGCTTTACACTGAAAAAGAGATTTATATGTTCAAATTGCTTCTTGATTGACGATGTTTTTACGGTATATTATAATGTATAATTGTATTATTTATGAAATAGAATGTGGCATTTATCTGATCACAGGTCAGAAATCAACTTGCAATCTGTCTTCTGGTCTTAGCATCAATGTCACCTTGTGCAATCATCTGACACTTTAATACCTTTTTATTAAGTAAACCTTTTCAGCTCTATAGTTGGCTTTTGTCATCTTTACAAAATAAAACCTGCAATTCCTGTATGTAGTCAATATATGTCCAATTTGTTCAAAATAAAAAATGGCGGCGCTCAAAAACATTTATGCAAGAACCCGTAGAGATGCCCTGGCCATATACTAAAAATGAAGTGAAGGTAGTTAAGTCTTTAATTTGTTTTAATTTCCTTTATCAGTGATCTGAGTGACAACTAACCTGACAAGGTCGTGTGAATTGCGCCCTCAGCGTTGCTCTAAACACAACACACACCTGACAGAACGATGTAGTTTTTCACCTGCACCAATTAAATTGCAGGAATGTAAGATAATGACAGCCATCAAAAAGTTTATTTGTTTGTTGACATAATATGTGATAAGGTGCTGCCAGATGTCAGCCCGATGTTTATCATCTTGTTCAAAACAGTCTGTGATTTTTGCTGACAATGCAATCACAGTTATCATGGCCTCAAAAATGAATATTCATTGAAACTCAAGAAGGCGTGAACTTTGCGAATTTGCAGTATTGATCTTGCCTATGAGACGTACACTATTCTGTCAGGCGTCGGCGAGGTCTGAAGCCGTTCGACCGGCGAAGTAGCTTCTCACATCTACGTACGTGTCGCAACTGAAAAAATATGAAATATAAAAAGATTTGAGGACTTAGATAATTTTATTTGTTTATATAGTAACTAATATACTAGTAAACAGATGTACTGTGTATGAACAAAAACTTCAATTTTTTGTGTGCTGGATTGTTAAAATACAGTTAATTTTGATCATAGACACAAATCTATCTTTATATGTAAGTGTATGCATTACTAATAGAGGGAGTATTAAAACTAACAAACATACTGCAACCTCAAGAACTCGTATAGAATGTTTTGGTTATTATCAGATAATAGGTATGATTGATAATAACAATATGATAACATAGTGTTGTGTCCTAAATGCAAATTTATACTAGTACCGTAAAATCTGTATTAGAAACCGCATTTCTAATAGAAGTCGCACACATTCTTTTTGAATAAATGAGAACCAAAAATTTATCATTTCTCATATGTATAGATGCTCTAATAGAAGCTGCATTCCCTCTGTTGCATTGTACCATTTTTAATAGAAGTTGCAGTTTTTTAATACAGATTTTACAGTAGATCATTTTTTTTTTTATCTTTTTGTGTCAGGTGACTGTTTCGGACATTGAATGTCACTCTTGATTTTTTTTTTTTTTATTTACCAGTATGTGCAAGTTGCAAGTATGAGTTCCGATACATAGAAGCCATATTCATGTTTGGGACTACTTGACAGGGCTGTGTGGGGCATCTCTCTACTACCGGGGGTAAATGGCTATTTAATGTGCTATCCTAGTGTCAACCAGGCCTGGTCGAACACAAACATCTCTGTGAATTAACCTTAACTAAGGTTCCCCTAAAATATAACAGTTATCCTTAACTGTGTACTGGTTCTGCTTTTAGCAAGGTTAGGATCACATATAAATTGATGTATCATTTGGGAAGGTCTGTTTGAAGTTTAGCATCACGTACATTTGGTCTGCCAGGTACTTGCTATTAGGGAAAGGCCACCTAAAGGTTATCTGCTTAGTAATGAAACACCTTTGCCATCACTGTACACTCGTCCTATTTGCATTTGACAATGTTTGAAACTTTTATGGACCGGATGGAGTAATTACCGATAAAGATCATCAGACAGATAGAAGATATTGATGACCCGTGGCAGGTGGCGATAATGTCGATGCACTACTTGATTAGACTTGTCATTCGAGGCCTGTTTGCTAATGAATGCGTCCTTAGTATGTCCTGGTAAAATAGTCCTCCTTTGATTATAGCTATGAAAGACCATCTGTCGTAAGATTGAATAGTGTTTGTGAGATAATTGCATCTGGGCAGATTGGAATTACCGCACATGTGGTTTTTAAATGCTATCTGATTTCTTTACTGTCAAGCAGGTGGTAATGGAGGGAGGGAGGGAGGGAGGGAGGGAGGGAGGGCATTTGTATTCGTGATGCGCGCCATCACCATAAATGCACAACTCTTTGAATAAACAAATTGCTTTGTTTAATAAAAATTTAGTTGAATGGATCGATGATTAGAAATTCTGGGAGGGGAGATGACACAGTACAAATTTGTTTCCTTTACCTAGTTTAGTGCTAGATTTTCTAGAATAATGTTTAAATGTGTTATTCTTTGCGTTATGTCTCTGCTGACTTTTCTTGTACCAAATACCCCCCTGATGTTTCTTGTGGTCAACCCTGAATATCTCTGTACTGATTTTTCTTGTACCAAATCCCCACCCCTGATGTTTCTAGAGGTCAACCCTGAATGATTTTTTTTCTTGCTATATCCAGTCCTACCATTGTATCTTTGATGGATCACTGTCAGATTGATTTAATTCGTTTTAGTGTTGATAAATTTCCTAATTTTAGTAACTATCATTATCTCGAAAATGCTAGGCTGATGGACAATTTTCCGCTCAATGTATGATCTTGTGCTATGCGTGATCTTGTGCTATGCGTGATCTCGTGCTATGTGTGAAATCAAATGTAAAAACAGGGAAAACAAAGATTATAGCATTGTAGTAGCATCTGAACACTGTGCTGGATTAATCAAATGAGGGAGTATTTTGGGGTGTTTCCACACTTAATTGTGTGCTACATTTGATGATGATTAATTTTAATGAAGTACGGATATCTCAATACAATATTTCCCTCTTCCAAGATCAGCATTTCAACATACAAAAAAAGAAATTTAAATTCAAAATCAAATTGTTCAATTTTTTTGACTGACGTTTGAACTGCGTTTTTCATGTAATATGCAGGATCTCTCAGTGAACAAAATATCACCTATTGATTTGATGTATGTCTCACTATGCATCTCAAACAGTATAGCTACATGTACATTTACAGCTAGGTTATGTGTTATAGTTAGAGAGAAATTCCAATACTATTTCAAATGTTTTCTAACCTGAACTTTTTCAGTTTAATTTTGAAAAAAAGAAAATTAACTGATTATTGTGAATTGCAGCCCCGACAGAAGAAATGGATTCTGCACCTTCAGGAACTCTTGAGCAAAGACAGCGGTTCTTATACATGTGTGGTAACCAACAAATATGGAACTCTCAATTTCACGTTTATCCTAGAAGTTGCCAGTCAAAGTAAGATATTTTTTTTATGTATAGCTCTCTTAAATATCTGAAATATAAAAATAGTCATGTTACTTATGTACTCCTCCTCTCCTACATTGAAAGACATAATCAATGAAAATTATTCCTTGGAAAATACCTTAAAATTGTGTTAGTTCAACTGATTTTCTTGGAGAGTTTCCATAGTACTGTAAAATCTGTATTCAAAGCCGCATCTCTAATAGAAGTTGCATCCATTCTATTTGAATAATTGAGAATCAAAAATTCATCATTTCTCATATGTGTAGATGCTCTAATAGAAGCCACATCCCCTCTGTTGCAATGTACCATTTCAATACAAGTCGTGGTTTCTAATACAGATTTTACAGTAATCATTTGAAGTTTGTGAGTAATTACTCAGGTTTAGTGTCCTCTGCACATGTCAAATGCATGGTATTTAAACCGAAAACTGTAACTATGGTGATAAAGATTGATTAGATGTTGGGTGTTCAATGTTTTCACAGCTTGTTTTCTGATAACATCAACAGTCACTTCTCTCAAAATAGATACACATAATTCTTGATTTGTTTGTAGCGTTAATAGATTGACAAGACACCAGTGTTGACTTGATACATGTTTGATGACTGTTTTAATAAATTCCTACTATATGCTGGTTTTCCTGCTCAGAGATTTCTTGCAACACTGACACCAATAGCATAAACTCTTAAAAGACCCAAAAAAAAATTGTTTTGTTGCCCTCAGCGACCGACCGAAAAATATGAAATATCGGGTCACGTTTTTTCCCCCATATACCTCGGCTATTTACGATACCCTTAGTTTTCACGAGTTTAAAAAAAAAAAAAAAAAAAAAAAAAAAAAATCCGA